CGCCTTGTTTAAAGAACATTCACTTAATTTGTGAGCCTAATTGTGAGTTGCACATTGTATTATACTTGGACACCGAGAGAAGTGGTTGGTGAGAGACGGGGTTGGTTCTAAGAGGAGTGAGGTCGGTAGTAAAGCCTAGTGAGAGGTGGTAATTTCCGAATAATTGAGAAAGGTGACACGGGCTAGGCTAACACTTAGAGGGTGTGAAGTGTATTTGCAATTATGTGAAGTGTATTAGAGTGCCTTATTGTGAAGTTCACATTGTATTACACTAGTACACCAAGAGGAGTGTGTGGTGAGAGACGGGGTCATCCCAAGAGGAGTGGGGTAGGTGGTAATTCCTAGAGAGAGGTTGTAATTCCTAACACTTGAGGGAGACACGGGCTAGAGACCAACACTTAAGGTGGTAGTTAGTATAGTTACATTGTGAGATTGTGAACGTTGATCAGTGAGCATTGAAAACCGATATTGTGTGGTATAAATATTTTTGAGTGATCGTTGAAAACCAGGTGTGATAGTAGATTTCTCCCCGGGAGTGGGGAGCAGAGACGTAGGACGGAAGGTCCGAACTTCGTGATCATATTGTGTGTTTGCATTGTTTATATTGCCCTATCACAATTATATCTTTGGTTTAGATTGTTTACCCTTATCACTACAACAGAAATGCTAATCCGCGAGGAACAAGTTTGTCGTTGAAAGTCGAGATTTCCTCGTCGTAGTGTGTTCGCGAGGAAAAAACTTTGGTCACCATTTCCTCGCGGTAGGGTGGTCAAGAAAAGTTTCTGCGAGGAATATTATAATTTCTCACGAAATCCTTTTTGCGATGAATATATTCTTTTCTCGTTGTTACTCTTTAGCCTCGATATTTTTCCTCACCTAATCTCATGCCTTTTTCATCGCTAAACTACAGTTTCCTCGCCAATAATATGTGAATAATATTTAATTTATATATAATAAAAGTTCTAAAAAAACTATTTTCGTCGTTGTAAGTACCTTTCAACGAGGAAATTGTTCCTCACCAAAGGTAAATCATTAACGAGGAAATTGATTTTCTTCATTATATGTATCTTTTTCTCGTGGAAACAGTTCCTCAGTAAAGGGACTCAATGACGAGAAAATTTAAATTTGTCGTTGTAGGTTGTACCCCATATTCCTCGCCAAAGAAAGTCAATTACGAGGAAATTTACATTTGTCGATATAGGTTATATGGTCTATAGCGAGGAAAATTACTTTTGCCGTTATAGGTTGTATCACTATAGCGAGGAAATATGTTTTTATCGACATAAGCAGTATACTCTATAACGAGAAAATATTCTTTTGACGATATAAGTATGTGGTCTATTGTGAGGAAACATATTTTCGTCACCTTAAGTTGTAGGGTCTATTTCGAGGAAATTTACTTTCATTGACCTAAATATATAGCGAGAAAACTTATAATGAGGAAATTTTATTTCATCAATAATAATGCTATTACGAGAAAAACACAAAATATAAATAATTATCATCAATTGTCACCACAGTACATCAAAACAATTAAAATAAATAAAGCAAGAAAGTTACTACCATAAGTAACAATGCTAGTCTAAAGCAATAACAAATACAACACGATCAAAGAAATATTTCTCCAAGTTTAAGTTCACTAAGAATACTAAGCTGATGGATGTTGCCTCGAAAAATTAGCCATAAACTCCTCAAACTTTTTGGCTTGCTCCTCCAATCTTTGGATTACCTCATTTTGCGCATCGATCTTCTGTTGTTGAGTTCCTACAAGTTGTTGGGTCTCTTGAAGCTGTTCTTGCAACTCTTTATTTTTTTCAGACATTTCACTCATCGAAGAACGAGAGAACCTTAATGGTGGTGGTCTAGGGCCAAAACCACATCCCTTAATGTAGCCTGATTTGACTTTGAGAACTTTTGCACAAATTTCCTCATCTGTCATTGTTCGAGTTCCATCAGGTTGAGTGATATCTGCTCGCATCTTTATCATTTGATCCTATAAGTAAAACAAAAATATATCCAGTTCAATCATATGCAACTTCTTAATTACAACCATATCAATATAATCCTCTTTAGAACAGTAATATCAATTTCACCTATATTCTTAAAATATTATAAAAGCATGCATCATTGACACGTTACTTACCCATTTTTCCTTTGCTCCCAAGTCCCATCCTTTTTTTGTACTTCTATACTCTGTTTCAAAACGATCAATTGCACCTTGCATCTCTCCAGTCTGTGTTGCCTATTGCATTCAAACATATTTTCATTTTCAGCATATATATATGTACACAATTAGGTTACAAATTTATAAGCAAAACTAAAAAGTGTCTTACAATTTGCTCTTGGTGTGACATAAATGATTTTGACCCAGCTTTGTGGTGATATGTCAACTTTGACCTATTAAGAACATTCTTCTCTGAGCGAATCTAAAATTATTGAGACATACAGTTAGAAAGAAGTAAATGAAAATAAAAAAAAATGTAATGCGTGGAGAAAAATAAAAAAGATATTGTACCTTAAACTTTTCACTAGAAAAATGAGTGCAAAGAAACTCCCATTCTTCCTGAGTCTTGACAGCTTCATGTTTGTTTTCAATTGCCTCCTCAATTGTTGAAAACTGCTCAAAATGTTTCTTTAACTTATAACGAAAATTACAATATACGGTCTGACATGTTGTAATTACATATCTCTGGACCCAAGGGAGCGACATATCAAATTCAAATTTATTCTGCACAGGCATAATTTCATGTCAAACTAAATATAACAAATCAAAGCAACCAATATAATGCCTTTAGCAAAACAAATCATCACTAACCTGCATTCTTTTGATCAAGTTCTCCACATCTGCTTTTTCAATCTTCTTCCATTTTTCCACATTCAGTGGGGCGTAGTTTCGAATTGTGTAACCAATTTCATTTGCAAACATCTCAGCATAAGGGCCCGTAGGTCTGCCATTTTCTTCAGTCAGAGTCACAGGTATTTTAGAATTCAATTGGGAGAACACCTTATCTGCATTCACTCCTCTTGTCTTCCCTCGCACCTTTTTGGTTGTACCTTTGACATAATTTTTATTAAGAACATAACACATACGTATATTTAATTCTCAAAATATATGTATATAATGTTTTGTATACCTGGAGGAGGCTCCTGATTAATATCTGACATCACATTATCATCTCGCTCTTCAACTATGGTGTTTACCACTGGCTGATCATTAACACTTTGTTGCTGAAGACGTGCACTAACTCTAATCCCTGTCATTCGAGTTTGTAGTTTAGGTATACCCTTGTAATTTGCAATTGATGAAAATGAAATTCAATTCAGCTTCTCTACACCTTTTAGAGGAAAATAATTCAATTCAGCTCAATTCAACTGAATTCAGCTCAATTCAACACCACTTACCAGTAGTAGTTCGTTCTGTGGTGACAACAGTACTACTAGAATTCAGTCCATCTGCTACAGAATTTTGGCATTCTTGATTGGAAGTTTGCAGACGAGTACGTTTTGTACCTATTAGCATACACACTTGTTAGATAAGTAAAAACTAACAGTACTTAAATATTCTAGCAATAAAATGAAGATTGCATATTTACTCGGATTAGAACCGGATCCATTCCCTGCAGAATTCATGTATGGCAGATAACTAGTTGCTGCATGAGAACGTTTCTTTTTCAATAATTCTGCATGTGATTGATTACTTGATGCATTACCTGTTGTTACATAAACGTTAAATTGATAATAATATTCTAATCAACCAAGTGAATGAATCATGAATTATAAGAGAAATATGCACTACTTACCAGAAGTAGAACTCTGAACGATAGGCGCTTTGTTACGGTACATCTTCTCACTGTTTATTATCAAACAATTAGAATGGTCAAAATGCAAAAGAATGTAAACAGTAAAAACTTTGCTAGAAAATAGATCAAGGTGGTAGATTGCAATCGGAACCCTCTTTAAAGGTGGTTTATGTACAAATGAGCTTTGAAGGTGGTTTTCGTACCATCACCATATTGAATTATGTAGATCCTAGCAATACAACACACGTTGCTCTCCGGCAATACAAAGTAGAAGGACAAATAGAGGAGGAAATAAAGTGAAAACTGGTGCGCAGATAAAAACATTAAAACCCAAAACATTTCGCATGACGTACAAAAAAAAAGCTTAATTAAGTAAATCACGCGCAGATATAACATGCTACAACCATGAGTAATGACCTGAAACCGTATGATAAGAGAGCTAAATTTCTCTACAGATTAACCCATGTTGTGATCTGTCATTCCTAGTAAGGGCCTGCTTTCACTAAATACCTTGTTACAGTAAAATTCTGAGGATAATATTCTATACGCGATTTTTTCATAAGCTTTATCTGTGAAATTCTTAGACCTACTAAATTTGCAATATTAATATTCTATACGCGATTTTTTCATAAGCTTTATCTGTGAAATTCTTAGACCTACTAAATTTGCAATATGTTCATAAGCTTTATCCGTGAAACTGCATGAGAAGAATAAATAATCCTGTCAAGAACCGTACTTACCCAAATCCTTAGGATATTGAATAGGAGACATATATCAACCTAGCTTTGAACTTCTGTTTGAATGGCAGAAAAATTGAAGAGTAAACATTTTTTTAGTTTCAATCATTGAAAGCTTTGAGCCCTGGATCACAACTTGGTTCTTAGATGCCGTTTCAAGAATTAATATTACCCATAAAAGCTTAGACAAGTGAGCTGTGGGCTAACAATGTGTATCAAGCTAATATAATTATAGCAAATTAAGTTAAACTTATTGTCAGAGCAACTACATGAAAGCAATCACCCAAGTTGCAAAGTTATCTGGTTAACTAGAACTATGATACATTTGAATAATCACCTTGAAAGAGCGTAAAGGTTTAAACTTTGGAGGCCAACACATCTAGGAAGTATCTTTTGCAACCCAACATCTGTCAACTTGACACACCTGAGGTGAGTGTAACAAGAAAGCATGAGAAACAGAATCATGCATTTGGCTAGTTCAATAGCAAAGCAAAAAAGAAATTGTACACTGGCAGAAAGGTACATCTCAAAATTCTCTACAGACTAAATTTCTACCATAGAAAGAACTGTGTTTACAATTGACGATACACACAGGCTTACCTTCAATATTTCAAAGACAAGTAGTTGAATTTCCAATTGAACGTAAGCACCCTGAGTAACTTTATCAGTCCTGCTATGAAAGAATTTTGTCAAAAGAACTGTACAGGTATTAAGTGCGTGTGAGTCCTTTGAAAACATTGCTCCTGCTTATGTTGCCTACAGATCAACACCAGTATGCGTATAAGATATGTCATGATCCAAACTGAGCACATCTACCACTAAAGTTTTTTTTAAAGAACGGAACAAAAACATCAGCCTAATAAAATAGAGTAATCATGACATTAATAATTAATATATTGCACATAAACGGAAACAAAGTTAATTGTGAGGGACCTCCTACACATTCTACAGAGGTGCTAAACTAAATTACGACATAAAAGGTAAAGAGTACCTTCTTCACAATTCACAATAACATGCATAAGGGTTCTTTGCCCTTCTACATGAAATCTGAAATTTACAATTATGTTTTTCACCTCATATAAGTATTGCATCACAATGAATAAGAACTGTATGGTGTTTAGGCCAACATGTAAGAAATGTTGTGTGACTTATCCTATGCTTACGTGATCACTGATCATCAGAGCCCAACAAAGTTTTAGCCAATTTTAGAAAAGCCTCCTACTCATCTAGAGGTAAGACTTAAAATCTCCTTAGCAACTTCACAGGTTCCTTTAAACATGTTAAGACTGTAGTAAGAAAACCTAGGAAAGACTGAAGCTCCTGAAAGCACAACAGAAAACCTAGCTCCTGAAAAGACTTATACATTGAGTGCAGAAAAGACTGAAGCTCCTGAAAGCACAACAGAAAACCTAGCTCGTCCTAGTCCAGTATCTGTCCTTGAAGTGTTCTTTGATGAGGATATCAATATACCTCAAGGGACAGGAATTGACTATATTAAGAAGCCTCTATATGTTTGCAATTTGATTTTTTTTTCGTTGAAGTGTCCTTGAAGTGTTCCTTGATTCTATTCATTAAAGAGATCTCAACAACGACATGCACAAATATTTCACAGCTGAGTTGCTAGCAGAACCTCGGAGGCTTTCTTTCGAAGAAACTGAAGATTCTCATCTAATTCTAACCTCAAAAGTAGCTGCAGAGGCTAAGGAAACAAAGTTGAAGTATGTAAGAAGTGTATTAGAAGCCTCAGGCTTAAACAACCACAAGCTACCAGAGAGATGGAAATCAACAGATCAGTTACTGGATCCATTTGTACTCGATGAAGTAGAAATCTTATATAATCAACTGATCGATGACTCTAAGCTCCTCTTCGATTGCATTAACGAAGTTCTTCTACAAATATGTGACATATATTTTAGTTGTACTCCTTGGATATATTCTATCAAGCCTCAGATATTATCGGTCCCAACAGGATAAAATTTACTCTGTCCCAATGTCTCAGATATGTTTGGACTTTAGGGTCTGTATTCTGTACAGTTTGTAATAGAGAATCTTAGATAGCCATTCCGACACACAAAAAAGTTGCCAAGGTGAATGTTTCGACATATATGGTAATGATCATGTCATCTGCAAGTTTTACCGGCTAACAAAGCAGACATGGACAGAACATGGGACACAAGCTGAGAAGCACACAGACAGTTTTTTGTTTGATGGACAGAACATGGACAGAACATGGACACAAAGCAGAACATGGACAGAACATGTAGACAAAATCCTAAAGCTAGCAATGAAGTAACTATAGGTTATAAATTCTCTTTGCTATTGAAAATTAATCTTTACTATCCCTAATTAGTCTCTACCATCATGTGCGTGCGTAGATATGTATGCATGAATGGTCTGGGGAATGATGTAATATATATCTTTACATATGAGCAATTATTATTCAACTAGTACTGACAAATGAAATACTATTCACATTATGTGACAAGCTTTTCAAGTTATTATATAAGAAATACTAGATTTATACATATGTAAGAAAATGACCTCCATCTATGAAGAATGTACCGGATAACTTTTCTGCTTTTTCAATTGAGGAAGTATTATCATCAATTGTGTTCAATTAAACTATGAAATGGCACATATATATATACACACCCACATCATTTGCAGATTGTTATATGCGGAACATAAAATGTAGGTTCTAATATTAGCATTATACAATTACGTTAAAGTACATATATGTACATAGATAAATGAGCGCATGAAAAACTATTAATTACGAATTTCAAATGTTGGAGAGGTTATGATTTAAGAAGCAAAGAGACATTCTCATTTCAAATAAAATTTGGAAGTTATAATGTATAACTCCAAATTATAACTAAACAGAAAATATATACATAATATACATGTTATTTTCATAATGTGACTTTCAGTGACATGTCCACTTAACCTGTAAGATTCTAGTTTTAGTTAGTTTAACATCAACAGAAGTACTATGAAATTGTGTCAGAACCTGTAAATGAACTGAGTTATCAAACTGTACATCATGCATATTTTTTACTTAAAAAGACTTAAAAGTAGTAGAAATGTTTTTAGGTGCAGCACGAGTAAGCAGTAAATTTAAACAGAATATGTGAACATAATGAAAATAGACAATTAATCAGGAACAGAAAATTGCACCCCTAATATCCGCTGTAAAAATAGACAATTAATCAAACTGATCTAACAATGGCTCATATGACGAGAAGATAAAATCTAACCTGTATTGTCTTGCGAAAATTCCTAGGTTCTTCAGGGTCCTCAAATGGATATGCACCCACTAACATGACATATACTCCACAGGACCATACATCTGCAATCTGTGACGTTTATAAGCTAAAGTACATCAGAAGAAAAAAGAGAATTCTGGACGGCTAATATTATTAGGAAAGAGAAAATGCCTTCAACACTAGCACAGTGAACAGCTAGTAACAAGACATAATGCGCAACAATGACACAAAGCTACCAAGTAACATGACATATAGATTCATATGGCACCATAAACAAAAATAAAAATTCGCCAGAATGCGACTGTAGTTCTACACCAATATAAAGAACACAATATACCATATGAAAAGGCAAATGTGGCAACAGGCATGCAACTGCTACATGGATAGGGAAGGGTTAAAGGCTCTAACAATAAGCTGGGGAATACATGTAATATCTGAAACTGGAGAAATAGCAGTAAAGGTTGGACAAGTAGCATCCAGACTTATTGGAAACATCCGCACGACATGGATTCAAAAACTACTTACAATTATAGCTACTAAACCACTTTCAACAAATAACAAAAAGAAGGAAGGAGATTTTACTACTAATTCAAGCATCCCCCTCTTAATCTTGCAACGTAATCGCAGCATCAAGAAAAAATAACAGTAAAATTATAGCTACATTTACCAAATTATGTCAAACTAAAACATCCCGCACAAATCAAAAAAAGAACATTAAAATTATGATATAAACTAATCACTATCCTCATCATCACTTGAAATGATTGGTTCTTCATCACCATCTTCCGGATCATCTTCTTCTTCAGTATCATCATTTATCAAATTATCTTCACTATCATCATTCATCCAATCATCGTTCACAACCTCTGAAGCAACAATTTCTGGGTCAATATCGTTAAGATGCAAATCTGGAGTTTCAAGGCCCTCTTTCAACAGTTTCAAGGCCCTCTTCTTGAACGAACCAGTGAACATCATTAAACTCGTCTTGTTGATAAGCATCATTTGTCACAGGATCTACATCATCCTCAACTATCACTCCACTTGTATCCTCGACCTCCGGAACATCCCACACGTTTCTCAATTGCACCTTTTGTACAACTTTCCAGGGTGAACCCAACTTACAGTCATCGAGATAAAACACTTGTTGGGCTTCCATAGCAAGTATGAATGGTTCATCATCATACCACGTAGAGCTTGTATTAATGCTAGTAAGATTATAATCATACCGTATCATTCTTCTTCTTTCGTCTCTACTTGATTTGTCGGTGTTGAACCATTTACACTTGAATAAGAAAACTTGATTCATATCTAAGTACGTTAACTTCACAATACTTAGCAAAACACCATAATAATCATGACTTCCGCCAATAAAAACTCCAGGGACATACACCCCACTATTTTGAGTTGTCCGATGATCATCAAGATCTTTTGTATGATATCTAACTCCATCCACAATAACAACCAGTGTATGTATGAACACGTAAGATCTGGTTTAAGACATGCTAGAACAATAAAGATTTCTCAATCAGTTTCAATCCATCAATCCATTTTCTCGTTTTTTAATCATCTACGAATAACAATTGAAACAAGAAAGTTTAGCAATAGTGGTCATATACAATAACCAAAACTACTCTTTAAAATTGTGTATGAACTTACTTTTTTTTTCAAACCAATCAGGGAACTATTTTTCTTGTCTTTCATACAACTTATGGTTACTTGTTTGCCCTTAACTCATGCCTCGTGCTCCTACAGGAACAAATTAGATAATTCAATCTCTAATCTGAATTAAAAAAAATTGAACTATACACCAAAGCAAAAAAAGACCACTTACTTGAGATAAGGTTTCTAACCTGCGTCACAGTTGTATAGTACATACAATGAGCTTTATTCACTTCGCTTCCGGTCCAGTAATATATATTTTTTCACGGCAGAATGGACGAACTTTCTGAGAGAAAATCGATAAACCATCTACTACTTGGTCATCTTCTACATCGACATTTCGTTCTGCCCGATTGATACGGGTTTCAATCTCACGAAAATACATAGAACAAAATGTCACTGCTTCATTGACAATATATGCTTCTGCAATAGAACCTTCAGGTCGAGCTTTATTTGTAACATACTTTTTATATGTTCCTAAATTTCTCTCAATAGGATACATCCACCGATAGGTAACTGGACCACCAAGCAAAGCTTCACGAGGTAAATGGACTGCCAAGTGAACCATTACATCAAAAAAAGCCGGTGGAAAAATTCTCTCTAATTTGCACAATATTATAACAATCTCCTTCTCCATTCTTTCCAAGTCTGACACCTTTAAAGTTTTTGCACATATCTGTTGGAAAAAAATGGCCAGCTCAACAATTGCAGTGCACACATCCTTGTCCAAATATGAACGAATACCAACTGGGAGGAGGCGTTGAAGTAAAACATGGCAATCATGACTTTTTAAATTATGTATCTTCCCATCGACAATGTTCACATTTTTGCAAATATTGGCAGCATACCCATCAGGAAATTTGACAACTTTGAGGAACTTACAAAACAGCCTACGGTATTCCAATTTCAAAACATATCTAGCATGAGGCTTCTTCAATTTATTCCCTTGACGTGTGAGATGCAATTCTTTTCTTATCTTCCTATCTGCCAAGTCCAAACGAGCCTTGTTGGTGTCTTTTGTTTTCCCATCTATATTCAACAAAGTACCAATGACACTATCACATATATTTTTTTCAACATGCATCACATCAATATTATGTCTCAACCTGAGCTTGGACCAATACTCTAACTCAAAAAGAATACTCTTTCTAGTCCAGTTTAGCTCATGAGGCTCACGGTGTCGCTTTAAATCAGGATTGTCAGGATGTTTTCCAGGCCTAGCTTTATAAACACGATCTAATTGCCGCAATATGTCATCCCCAGAAAATAATCTGGGAGGAGGACGATCTTCAACTAAACCGTTAAAATATTTACTCCTTCTCCACTCAAGATCCTCAGGCAAATTTTGTTGAGCTCCCATAAAACATAATTTTCCTCTCAACCCCTCTGAAGTTACATCTTCGTTACAAACAGGACAAGCTTTGTACCCTTTTGTGCTCCACCCAGATAAATTTCCGTAAGCAGGAAAATCATTTATAGTCCACAATACACATGCCCGCAAATTAAAATTTCTCCCAACAGAGGCATCAAAAGTTTCAACTCCAATATCCCACAATTCTTTTAATTCGTCTATTAATGGACGAAGATACACATCAATGTCTTTCCCAGGTGCTCGAGGACCAGGTATGAGTAATGACATCATTGAATACACTCCTTTCATGCATTTCCAAGGAGGCAGATTGTACGGCACTAGCATAACTGGCCACATACTATAACTAGTGCTCATGTTTCCAAATGGATTAAAACCATCTGTAGCAAGCCCCAACCTCACATTTCGACAATCTGCAGCAAAATCAGGATACTCTTGATCAAAGTGTTTCCACTCGGCAGAATCAGCTGGATGTCGTAGGAAACCCTCTTCATTTTGTCTTCTTTTTTTATGCCATTTCATTTCAGTCGCTGTATGTCTTGACATATACAACCTCCGAAGTCTCGGCTTCAATGGAAAATAACGCAAGACTTTTTGTGGAACTTTCTTGCGTTTGCCATCACAAGACTTGTATCTCGGCTCCTTGCACACTGGACATTCATCCAGTTTCTTATTCTCTTTCCCATAAAACAGTGCACAGTCATACTTGCATGCATGTATGGATTCATACCCCAAGCCCAATTCTAGCAACATATTTTTGGCTTCATAGTTCGATGTTGGTATGGATGCACCTTTTGGATACGAGTCATTTAACAATTACAGTAGATTTTTAAAACTTTTATTGCTCCAACGACCATCTATCTTGATCTGCATTAATTTTATAATAAAAGATAATGCAGAGAACTTTGTACAACCCGGGTACAGTTCTCGTTGAGCTTCATTAAACAAATAATCATATTTGTTAACATAAATATCGTTCTCATCATCTGTCTCCATACTTATAGCCCCTTGGACATCATTTAACATGTCCAACATCGCAGCATTGTCATCATCATCATCATCGCTGTCACTTTCAAAATCCTCATACATTTGGTCGTCTGCGACATCAACAAAATCTTCCCCGTGCTCAGTCCATGTCGTGTAATGTTGTGCAAACCCATTTACAAGTATATGTCTGCGTATCTCGGGTAGAGAAAGACACGGCAAGGCATTTTGACATTTAACACAGGGGCAACGCGTCTTATTTTCATGATCTAGGTGTTGTTTCGCAGTATCCAAAAATGTTTTTAAACCATTGGTGAAGTCAGGGTTGTGAAACCTATCTCTAACAAACATCCAACTTCTGTCCATCAGGTACCTATAATAAAAAACAAGGGGTTCCCCATTGAGAAACAGTATGACCAATCATAAAAAAGATACATAACCAACACTTGTACCTATGATCTAACTTACATGTGGTTAATCGATAATTATAATATTTTTTTTGTTAATTAAGTGATAAAAATGAGATATTAACGTTGATTATTGATTTATTGAGGTACACTTCAACAGCCATAGACAAAATCAAGCATAAAAGAACTAGTTACTACATGGTTGAGCTTCATTATCAGGGAGGACTAGAGAATAATCATTGTCTATGTTTTATACCCATTTTGGGTGGGTGAATATTTCTTTTACCATCCGAAAATACCAACAGTAAAGTGATTTTGTCTCAAAATCCTTGAGGGCCAAGTCAAATTACAATATTAAATGATCTGCTCATCTTGGAAAAGGATATAGATTCAAGACTATTTTAGTAACATATTTAAGGAAAATGTTTTTCACCTTTTTACATCAAAAATAGAAATAACTAAAATGTTTTACACATCTCTAAGCATTTGATTGTTTTACCACCCCTAAGCATTTGACACCAGCAACAGAAAAACAGGATTTTACATATGCATCTGCTATCTACATCTCTCTTCTACTATCTCAAAGCATTGAAACCATCTCTTTCCCGGCAAATGAAGTGTGTGACTGTACAAAATATTTAGCTTATCATGTGGAAAATAGTGATAGCCTAATAGCATAATGACATAACTTTAAAAGAAAACTATAGCATAGTGTATTCAGGACGTCACCGATCTTAGCTACAGAATTTCTGGCTCTGCATCAGTTCTCAACGATATAGACCTTATGGGAAATCCTTTAGGGTGTAATTGTCAATTCTTTTCTACTTTATAGATAATCAGATGTAATTGGTAAAGAAATTCCAGCCTCAATTTTTCGTGCAACAAAAACAAAGAAGATCAGCGATAAGAGTTGGCCATTTAAAGAGGACTTGTCCTGTGCCTGAGTCCTGGAGGAGCAATGTCCGTCTGGAAAAGTTGCTTACAATAAGAGAGCAGACTACATTCTTTCTTTGAATATACCACTTCATGAAGCGACAAATAAAGGTTTTCCCTTGAAAAGCCTATAAATACGGCTGTTTTTCCTGCTTGAACTCCTATTAATGATCTATATTTCCATAATTCAGAGCAGGTTGAAGAATTTAACAAGCTGAAGGCAACAATGAAATTGGAAGGCAAAGAAGTGTAAGTTACAGATCATTTTTGTATTGAAAACTGTCTTCCAACTATGGAAAACTGTCTTCCAACTATGGACTATATCCTCAGTAAGCTTTTTCTTGCAGAGCTAATGATGAAGTTGTACGGCCAAGAGTGCCTCTAGAAGCATGTCTAGCAAGCTTTTTAGCTCCTGAGGAGGTGCATGATTTTTACAGTACAGCACTAAATTCCAAGACCACAGCAATCAAGTAAGTCATTGATTGTATATAAGAAAATGACATTAAAATATAATTTCTCCCTCTAGCCTCGGTTTATGTATTGTATTCTTTCAATTTGTTCCTTGCCAGTTTATATGAGATGATGTGTGCTGCCTTTTCTCTTTATTACAATGAACATCAAATTAGTAATTGAGTTTAGCGCATTCTGTTAGTTTTTGACTGATTTATTTCATCGAGAACTGGTGAAAATTCTAGTCAGATTATTACTTCTTACTCCATTGTTCTTTTTAGAAATATTCTTTCTGAGGAATAGGTTCCACCCATGTGGTTGCTCCTCCAGGACTCAGGCACACGACATGTCCTCTTTAAATGGCCAACTCTTGTCGTTGATCTTCTTTGTTTTTGTTGAACGAAAAATCAAGGCTGGAATTTCTTGACCAATTACATTTGATTATCTATAAAGTAGAAAAGAATTAACAATTACACCCTAAAGGATTTCCCATAAGGTCTATATCGTTGAGAACTGATGCAGAGCCAGAAATTCTGTAGCTAAGATCGGTGACGTCCTGAATACACTATGCTATAGTTTTCTTTTAAAGTTATGTCATTATGCTATTAGGCTATCACTATTTTCCATTTAGGGATTTGCTATAGTTTTCTTTTTAAAGTTATGTCATTATGCTATTATGCTATTAAGCATGTCCTAAATAAACTGAGTCCCCTTGTTCTGTTTACTTTTAGGCACATATCCACATAATAATATTGTTTATGTGAAAACATGCAATTTTGGATTATAAAAATTAAGTTGTTGTCTGCTGGCTATATTGGATCATCTACAAACATATATAAAACATTCTTACTGAGCGCAAGTTCATAAATTTTCAAATAAAACATATATAAAACATTGCTATATTGGATCATCTACAAACATATATAAAACATGGATTATTGACATTAAAGTAGACAACTGTTTCTAATAAGAACAATAGTTAGAAATTATACTACTATGTACATGGTTACGAAGAGTATCAGGTTAATTTTTTTCTTTTAATCCTAAAAATAGTTCATAAATTTTCAAATAAAAATATACTACTATGTACAGAAAAAATTAGAAATTTCAAATTGGAATAGGGAGAGCATGAAATATTTAGATCTTGATTACTGTTTTCCTAATAAGAACAATAACTAAAATTACTTCTTTTTTGTATAAAATAGAAAAGCAGAGAGTTTTTCTCTACATAATTACATGCACAGAATCAACAAGGGATTGGGAATTTTTACAAGTTGAATGAATAATTTAATCTCAAAAATAGGAAAATCCAAAATACCTTTGTGGGGGTGAGGCGATCAGCACATGCAATTGCCAGAAATCGGAAAGGGGTGAGACGCAACCACAATTGCACGAGGTCTTGATCGAGGTCTTGATCGGAAAGGTCTCAAGGTGAGATCGGAAAGGTCTTGATCGAGGTCTTGATCGGAAAGGTCTTGATCGAGGTGAGATCGGAGGTTTTTGAGAGAGGAGGTTTTGAGGTGAGATCGAAGGTCTCGAGGTCTGAGATTGGAGGGGTTTTGAGGGGAAATATAAATCGCTAGGTTTTGGGTCGTGGGGAATTCGCGGGTGTGAGGATGAGAACGGAGCGGTTTTGAGGGATAAATTTGTTGTCAATGAATTCGCGGGTGTGAGGATGAGAACGGAGCGTTTTGGTAATTATAATTCGTTTCCCCCGTTTTTTTAATCCCTACAAATTTAGTTTCCCACCTTAATTTTAATAAAAATATCTATTTTTTAAAATTTACTTTAAGATATAATTAGCAACTGTTTCAAATAGACAGAAAAGATCAGATTTTATAATAACGGATAAAAATAAAACTCACACCTCAATTCGGGGATCACCAAAACTCAAAACAATAATACTGTCCATTAAAATTCAATTAGAGTTCACCAACTGTACAAATAATCAAATCTAAAATAAGAGATTAAGAGGGCAATTGAAATTAACTCAAGTCATTTAAAGTCTGACGATAATCAGACCTTGATCTAGCATAAAACTTGACCTCGATTAATCAAACAGAAAAGATTTATACATATTGAGGAAGAAAATTGAAAGAATCTATGGGCGAAGTAATAAAAGATTGATTCTCAGTACTTACCAAAATTGAAAGCTCAATAGATCGGCTGGATATAAACGAGAACCTCTAAGTTTCAAAGTGCATCACTGCATCGTCGTGTTGAGATTGAGAGAGATATTAGGGTAAATCTATTCATTCTTTTTTGTTCAAATTTTTTTTTTTAGATTGGTCGCTATTTCTCCCGCTATTTTTTCGATACATGTAATTTCTCCAGCTTCCTCACCAGGACATCCCGCTTTTCTTTTAGATTGACGGTATATATGTTAGCTTTGACTCTTTCTTGTTTAAATTACATATTTCTCCATGTACACAGCATCAAAGAGAGTATATCTATTAAGAGGGTTAAATTTGATATTTTACTTTGACCATGTTTAGAGTTTAGGGTTTAGGGTTTAGGGGTTAGGGGAAAATATAAACATATGTATATCTTTCAGCTATCTTTTCAAAGAGAAAATTTGTTGTGATCAAGATTGAAAGATCTTACTACAATAGGATACCTGATTGAGGCATTAAAACATACTCAAAGTGGAAATATCTTGTTGAGGCATAAATATCTAATTGAGGCGGATATATCTATACAAGCTTAGAATGTATGATTTAATGAGTGTTTAGAATCGAAGTAATGCCTAAACTTGTGAGGAGAATCTCCCACATCTCAAAGCTAATGTAGTTTATATCTATTTTCATTGACAAATAGGAATAAAAGATTTCATTGCATGTTTGGTTTATATCTATTTGGCGGGTTTTGCACATTTTTCCTTCAAACTAATAATGAGGAAACTATTATTTCCTTGCTAATTGATTCTTTTAACAAGGAAAGGGTTCTTAACGAGGAAACAGTTCCTCGTAAAACATAAATTTTAGCGAGAAAACCTTTAATTTGTCGTAAATAAATTTGACAGGTGTTGCAAATTTTTCTGCCAAATTAGTAGTGAGTAAACTATGATTTCCTCGCTAATAAGTTCTTTTTAACGAGGAAACGGTTCCTCGTAAAAATAAAAACTTTTAGTGAGGAAGCCTTAAATTTGTCACCGTAGAAATTGACGGGGGTTTTTTCCCGCCAAACTAATAATGAGGAAACTATTATTTCCTCGCTAATTGATTCTTTTGATGAGGAAATGGTTCCTCGTAGATTATGGATCTTCAGCGAGGAAATCATATTTTGTCGTTGTTATATTTGGCGGGTTTTCCTCTATTTTTCGCGAAAAGAATAGCGATGAAATGATTATTTTCTCGTTAAATGTGCATTTCGTGATGAAAAAGTTCATCTCCAAAATCTCATATTTCCTCGCCAATAAAATAACTAGTTAGGAGACCAAATCATGATCATCTTTAGTGAGGAACTAAAATTTTCATCGTAGAAGGTGGTCTACTGTGAGGAAAATATATTCCTCGTAGAAGACCTACTGATATTTACAGAGGAAAAAATATTTTCCTCGTCGAAAGTGATATTTGTTGAGGAAAATAATTTTCTCGCAAAAAAGTTGGTCGCTAAAAGACCTGTCTGTTGTAGTGTATGTTGTTTATATATTCTTACATTATTTCATCATATAGGATATATCTCTTTATTCATATTATATATTCTTGCTCATAACATATTGTATATTTATCTTGTAAGAATAATTTATTAATAAGTTTTAATTAGCATAAAATCGGAATTAGATTAGCACAAGACCCTAATCCCCCCCCCCCCCCTAACAATCTCATCAGTCGACTGCCCCCTCATACTTAGTAAGCGGAACACTAATTTTGGGGGAACCGAGGGGATTGGTTCGTAAATACATCGGAAATCATTTCGCATGAATTGTTCCACAGTTTGAGGGGGGGTCGGGTCCAGGGAATCGTGCAACTATGCATGAAACCCTTAGTCAGGATGTTATGCCGCAAAAGTCCGGTCGTCGCCATTGCCTTCCACTCTAATGGCCACCACCGACGCCAACCACACGATAAAACTGTGGGACCTCCGGAAGTTTGAGTACCTTCATACTTATGGTGGTCGCGCCCAAATCCTTGATTTCAGTCAGAAGCGGTTGCTCGCAATGGCGAGTGGATCTCAGGTTCACATATGGAAAGATTCTTCTAGGGGTCAGGAGTATGGGAAATATATGATTCATTCAATGGTGGAGGGTTGTTAGGTCAGAAAAGTATGTTTTTCGACCATATGAGGGTATTTTGGGGATTGGACATTCAATGGGTATTCCATCGATTCTTGTTTCAGGAGCGGGTGAGCCTAATTTGATTATTGGGAAGTGAATCCTTATGAGACGAAGAAACAGAGGAGAGAGAAAGAGGTGCATTCTCTCTTTGATAAGCTTCAGCCTGAGATGATTATGTTGGATCCGAGTAAGACTGGGACCGTGAAGCTAACATGAACTGGAGAGAAACCGAGTAAAAATGAGTTAGAGGAAGAGAGGGAGGTGGCAATTGAGGAAGAGACGAAGAGTAAACCAGTGAAGAATAAGACGAAGGGGAGGAGTAAAGTCGAGTAAAATTGCGAGGAAGAAAGAGGAGGAGGTGTTCAGGTCGAAGAGGTCAATTTTGGATAAGCAAGAGGGGGAGGAGCAGGCGCTGAGAGAATTGCGGAGGCCGCCGAGCAGTTACCGAAGTTTCTTCAACGCTTCGCTCGGAAGAAGGCAGTGTAGCTCTTGAATGGTTGGATCAAATTCACAGAATTTTATGTTATCTTTTTGAAATAGTTTTGCCGGGATTAATAGATGTGATTTTTTTTGTCAGTGAAAATTTTTTATTTCATAACCAAAATGAAAGAGTTTATGTACACCTAAATGCTCAGTACAATCAATTGAGAAAGCAAAAAAAAATTGTTGAAACAAAAAAACACAGCACCTCAAAGGACTGCTTGATCCCAAAATACATATAATGAACTATTGAGCACT